TCGAGAATTGGTATTTTTGGCGCTTATGCCGGACGGGGTATGGGGACAACCCGATTCACCCTCATACCAGACGGAGTATTGATGAATGGTACTTTTGGTGCTCATACCAAACAGGGTATGGGGACGGCTTGTTTCACCCTCGTACCGGACATGATATTGAGGGATGATATTTTTGGCACTCATACCAGACGGGGTATGGGGACGGCTGGTTAGTTGACAATGTTGAATAAAGGTTTACGCGTAGTAGGGACATCCTTATGGACTCCTATGGATATAAAGAGAAAGTTGTTGTTCTGGTTAATTAAATATAAGATTATGATGTTGTCTGTGTTATTACCTTTATAAGTCGTTTTTAGAAATCTCGCTATGGTAAGTATGCAATAAATGATTTTATTTATGATAAATGAATTTATTTAAATTAAGAGTTCTATTAGTTATTTTTATGATTTTTACCAACCTTCATTTTTGTATCAGTGAGTAATATAACATTCTTACTGGGTTAGTGTAGCTCACTCTTTTATTAATTATTTCTGATTAAGAAGAATAAAATTCAGATCTCGATCCACAAGAGGGTTGCGAATAGGATGCCCAGTTGTTTACTTTCCATTTGTTTCTTTTATTTTTAGTTTGTTTTTTTAGAATGATCATTCTCGTAATCCTATTAGGTATTCTATATTATTGTGTAATAAATATAAACCCTAAATTTATTATTCTGTTTCTACATTTAATTTATAATTTATTTTCTTTTAAATTCCAGACTGTTACACAATAAGTGGTATTGTAAGCTCTTATAAAAAATATATATATATATATAATCTATGAATTGTTATATATATGGAGGATTCTAAACTTTGTAATTGTAGATAGAGACTAAATCAAATATTAATTATTTTATTTTGGTTTTTAATTTTGTATAAAATTTTGAGTAACTACAAACTATTTAATTTTTAGTACTTATAACAAATATTTTTTATGTTCAAAATTTTATTTTTTAAGTTACTTGTTTGGATAATTAAAAAAATTAAAGAAAAGAATTGAATTAAAAAAAATCATCTGTAACTTTTTCTTTTCTTATAAATTAACCGAAAGCAGAAAAGTCCAATTTCACAATCCAGAAGAGGAGAAAAAACAGCTGGACGAGGAGCAAAACTGCGAAGCAATGGCTCGCACCATCTCATACATAACAGGCTCTGAGCTCCTCGCCCTAAAACGTCGTCCCAACATTGCCATTGCCGTTGTTGACGTCAGGTAACTATATCTCGAGAGGATTTAAACGTCGTCCCAACTATTTCTTTTTCATTTCCTCACTGTACCTTTTTGTTCTTAATGACTGTCTCGTGAGGATTTAATCGTGTTATGAACATTTTCTTTCTCGATTTTTTGTGGGTTTTTAATTTTTCAAGGGATGATGAGAGGAGCTATGATGGGCATATAGCTGGGTCATTGCATTACGCGAGTGGTACCTTCACTGATAAGATCTCTAATCTTGTTCAAGAAGTCAAAGGGAAAGATACCCTTGTTTTTCATTGCGCTTTGAGCCAGGTTTTATCAGCGGTCTTCCTCTTTCCTCTTCTCTTTTAGATGGGTGATTTTCTTGTTTAGAATTTTGATGGGTTTCTTTTCTGGTCTTATCTTATTCCTTGCTGTTCCTATTCTTTGTCTACAATTAGTACTAGCTCGTTATAGTTTGTGATGTTAGAGATGCGTTTGTGGGTCTATTTAGTTGATAAATTTCACTAATCTTGTGTTGAAGATTTACTGGAGAGTGAAATTGGTTGTTGATTATATAACTAGATGATAATCACCAGATGATCGGTCCTCAAGAAATATTTTGACTTTTTAGATTGGAATTGGGAATTCAGCTGATATGCACAAATTTAGAGGAAAGTTAGTTCTATTCTATTTCATCACAACTACTGTTTCCTTGCTGATATATGTAAACTCTATTTGTGGTTGTGTCTGCTGGGAGCTTGTTAAAAGATTCCTCCGAATCATGTTGGTTTAAATATTTCCTGAAACTCAAGCACCTGGGTTCTGGTGTGCTTTCTTAGTGAGCTTGCTCCTTTTCTTTTTCAGTGACATAGTTTCTCATTATTTAGGGCTAATAAGATCACATTATGTGGTTGTAGGAAGTCACTAGCTAATGGCTGTACAAACACATGTTTTGCACTTGAGTCTGTTACTTTTACAGTTGGCGATCAATTTACTATTCCGCATTTCCCCTTTTCTCATTTAAAGTTCCTTCAATTTTTGACACTTTAAGCCTTTCTCAGCCTTAACATTGATGTTCCATTTATATCTCTTCTCTTCTAGGATAATGAATCTTAACTTTTTAACTTCATTGTTCATTTAATATAAAGATCCATCCTATTGATAAAAAAGAAGAATGAACACTGGAGGATGTGTGAGAAGGAGTATTACTATAAAAAGTAAATAAACATTTAATTATAAAGGAAACTTGAAAGCTACTTTATTTGGTACAATATTCCTGCGAAACACGACATGCCACTTAATGCAGATGCACCAAATTTAGAATCTTCTTTATTGTGATTGGGAGATGCCTATTTCTCATGCACATAGAGAAGAAGCCACATGGCGAAAAGCATCGGGTTGGCATCTCCATTATCACATCTCCACTTATGCCATTTTATATTTACTTGTATTTGAATGTGTATAATGTTGCTGTTTAGTTATAAAAGCTAAGCTAGTGTCTTCTGTTTCTGTTAAAGAAAAAAGGAGTCAAGGAATCATGGCATATGATTGTTCATTTTCTTTTCTGATAAACATTGTATGCTGCTGTTACCCCTATGTCTAAGCTCCTCTGGAAGCAAACTAAGCACAGAAAACAAGTGCATTTAATCCTGAGCTTTGTTTAAATAGATATATTAATAGTGCATCTAATGATTAATAGCTAGCTTGCCTTTCATTGGCAACATGGACATGATTGTGATGAGGTAATCAACCTGAAGGTGTTGCTGGAATATATCTATATTTCGCATTCACATAGAGAAGAAACACTTAATAAAATCCATGGCAAATGAGACTCAAGATTTTTGGATTAGCATTGTTGTTATTGCTTCTCCACGTATATGATTTTAAATTTATTTGTAGTTGAATATGTGTGACATTGCTTAATCAAAAGCTAAGTTGGTGTTTTCTCTCCTCATTCAAAAAAAACCAAAGGAGCATGGTATGCCATATATCCATATATATATATATATATGTATATGTACTAATAGTGCATCTAATTATTAGTTGCTAGCTCTCCTTTGCATTGGCAACATGTACATTAAAGTGATGAGCTAATCAACACGAAGGTATTGGCTAGAAATGGCCATACTTCTGAAGGAAATATTGGAAAATGATCTCTTGCTTTTCCAGGTTTACTATAATGAAAGAGAGGCAGATTGGTATTTTAAAACCCAATCTTTTCAAACATGCATTTTCATGTATTATATGTATGTAATTGTGGTTTTTCCGGTAGGTTCGTGGCCCAAAATGTGCAAGGAGGTTGGCAAATTATCTTGATGAGATGAAAGAAGATACTGGAATAAAGAATATTTTGGTCTTGGAACGTGGTTTCAATGGTTGGGAAGCTTCTGGTCGTCCTGTTTGCCAGTGCACTGATGTCCCCTGCAAGGGTGAGTATGCGAAGTAATTGATTCTAATACATAAAAGTTGATCAAAGGAGAGCATATTGTCGTATTGTGGTAGCCATATATATCCACTCCTTGCTACAGAAACAATAAGAATTACTGTCATTGAAAATGGGATATGTTGTTGGATTGATTTTTGTATGCTTTGTGTTGTCTGTATGATATAGAACTGGAAATTTTGAAATTGCTACTTTGCTATTATGCAAACCAAATCATTCCTCCAATTTGCAGACATGGAAATGGGAAAAGTAGGCATGTGTTTTGCCCTGCAACTTATAAATAATTCTTTTTGTTTTCATCTATATCACGATTAGGTATATTACCATAAAATTTCCTTTTTCTTTGTTTATTTATATCAAACTCATGCTTTAATTTAAGTGTATCTACACTATACTTAATAATAAAATTTATCTAAAATTTAACCGGAATCTAGGATTATATTCATTAGTAAAATTACTGGAATAATTATCTAATAACATTCATTAGTAAATTATTAGAAATAAAGTTATAAATAAAATGCGAAAATGTGTGGTAACGTTATGATTTACATTTCTTATACATAAATTAGTATGTCAAATAGAATTATAGAAATATTCATTTTACAGTGGTTCATAAAACAAAAAAACATAATAACATATGAAAATAATACATAAATGTTGTAGTGAAGTTAACCTCAATTACTTTTTGATAGAATTCAGGGGGATATCTACTGACAGTCCTCCTGCTGATCAGGATCTGAACCTTGATTTTCTTGATATGAAATGGTTAATAGGGGAGGAGATGAGCTACACTACGCAATAAAAATATGACATTATTTATTGATGCAGAAACTAAAAGTTGGTAAAAATTATAAAAATAACCAATGGAACTCTTAATTTAAGTAAATTTATTTATCATAAGGAAAATTATTTATTGCATACTTATCGTTGTGAGATTTCCAAAACCATCATATAGAGATAATAGCTCAAATAACATTGTGATCTTATATTCAAGTGAGCAAGAATAACAACTTTTCCTTTTTATTTTGCTTACTGATATCCTTAGGGGCCCATAGGAGTGTCCCACTACGCGTGAACCTAATATCTAAACTTATCAACTAACCGATTGTCCCCATATCTCGTCCGGTATGAGCATTAAAAATATCATCCCTCGAAATTCGTCCGGTATGAGGGTGAATCGAGACGTCCCTATATCCCGTCCGGTATGAGCATTAAAAATATCATCTTTCGATATCTCATTCAGTATAAGGTAGCGTTCATGGTAGGGTTCTTTATGTGCCCCAGTCCATCTACCATCTTTCAAGATATCCAATAGACAATCATTCATTATTCATATACCAACAATTTTTCAGTTGCATATTAATTTCAAATTCACAAATCAATCGTAAATCCCCGCAAAACAAGCAATATATGC